CCGCTGCGGGCCAGACTCTGTATTACGTGCAGGCTGTCGACCAGGCCACGGAGCCGGAGCCGCTGAGCCCTGCCGAGTCGCAAGCTGCGCTGCAGGTGGTCAACATGGGCACTTCTGGTTACTTGATGGGCATGGTGCCGCTATTTCTGGGAATGCAGGCGCGCGTCTCTGCGATCATGCCTGTGCCTCTTCTGAGCCGAGAGCTTCCTTGTGTGATCCGCAGGATCGACTTACATCCCCGTGAGCCCAGACACGAGCCAGGCGCAGCAGCGGTGGTTTTGCGGTACCTGCCGCAGGCGGTGCTGGTGGAGGTGGAGGACGAGGAGTACAAGCAGTTTCGTGTGCCAGAAGGTGGCCTGCCCGCTGGTCACTTCTTGATCGAGCCCCTGACGTCACCTCCCTGGAAGTTCAAGCTGGACACCCGTAAAATCTCGGTGAAGCGGCGCCAGGCGGGGCGTGAGATGAAGGGTGTAGCACATGGTTCAAATATTAGACACCCTTAAACTTGACTTTCCGCGTCCAACAGATTAAAGTAAGCGTGCAACATGCCTTTTTCGCAAGGTTCCATTGGCGCCACGCAGAGTCTTGACGCACTACGGACTTCAAGGCGTCACTGCTCGAGACGGCATGGTGGCATTCCTAACGAAGGCCAGCTACCAGAGCCCTGCGGACTATGTGTTGGCAGTGTACGTCATGCTGAGCCGGGCTCGAAAACTAGAGGATCTTTTCATCGTGGACATGCCCGATAGAGACATTTTCGAAGGCGCCCTGCGGCGTTTGAATCCAACGCTTGTCACCCGAATGGAAGAACTGCAGCGAATGTCTGCGGAGAGTCTACGGGGCGCCAAGAAGGACGCCGCGTGGCTCAAATGGTCAATTTCCAACCAGTGAGTCTGTCGGTCACGCACGCTACTGATGCGCTCTCTGCAGATGTGCGTCGCGTGGCTGAGCACAGACTGTCGTGTCTATGTTTGCAGATGTACATGGGATCATTTGGCCTTTACGGTCACGTGCGAAAGTTTCTCAGTCGTGCGCGCAACGGATGCGCTCTCTGCAGACATGCGCTGCGCGGCTGTTCACGATGCATCAACCACACTTGGACTTCTGCATCAGGTTCAAAAATTGCTGCGCTGGAAGTGGGGGTTTCAGGAGTTGCTGGTAGCATGATGGACAACTAGAGCAGTCCAGGAGGTTTTCATCAAGAAGAATGTGCTTAAGTTCCACGCTCAAGCAGAGTGCTCTAAGTGCCCCGTTTACCGCGCTTTCGAAATCGATGGTAGCACGGACAACTAGAGCAGGTAGCAAGGTTGTCATGAAGAACAGCGTGCTCAAGTTCCTTGCTTACTGTATTTCTAGCTGCTAGACTTCTCTTCCGGTGAGCAAACTTTCATGTGTGGAGTCGAAATTTCCGGGTTACCTTAAGCCCTAAACCCTAAACCCTAAACCCAAAACTAACCCTAAACCCTAAACCCAGAACCCTAAACCCCAAACCCTAAACCCCCCTGTTTACCGCGCTATCCAACTGCTAGAGCTGTTGTCTGCTCAGCGCACTGCCGTCTTTGGAATCGAGGGTTAAGGATTCAGAGCGCAGGGGTTGCTAGTGGCAGCAGAGTGGAGGGCTAGAGTGGTAAACAGGTTTATGGTCAAGTAAAGTGCTCCAAGTGCCCTGTTTACCGCACCTAAAGAGATGGTGGTAGAAGAGTGGACAAGTAGAGCAGTCAACGAGGTTTTCATCCAGTAGAGCGTGCTTAAGTTCCATGTTTAAGCAGAGTGCTCTAAGTGCCCAGTCCACGAGGTTTTCATCAGGAAGAATGTGCTTAAGTTCCACGCTCAAGCAGAGTGCTCTAAGTGCCCCGTTTACCGCGCTTTCGAAATCGATGGTAGCATGGACAACTAGAGCAGGTAGCAAGGTTGTCCTGCAGAACAGCGTGCTTAAGTTCCTTCCTTAGTATATTTTCCAGCTGCTAGACTTCTCTTCCGGTGAGCGAACTTTCATGCGTGGAGACGAAATTTCCGGGTTACCTTAAGCCCTAAACCCTAAACCCAAAACTAACCCTAAATCCTAAACCCAGAACCCTAAAACCCAAACCCTAAACCCCCCTGTTTACTGCGCTATCCAACTGCTAGAGCTGTTGTCTGCTGAGCGCACTGCCGTCTTTGGAATCGAGGGTTAAGGATTCAGGGCGCAGGGGTTGCTAGTGGCAGCAGAGTGGAGGGCTAGAGTGGTAAACAGGTTTATGGTCAAGTAGAGTGCTCCAAGTGCCCTGTTTACCGCACCTAAAGAGATGGTGGTAGAAGAGTGGACAAGTAGAGCAGTCAACGAGGTTTTCATCCAGTAGAGCGTGTTTAAGTTCCATCTTTAAGCAGAGTGCTCTAAGTGCCCAGTCCACGAGGTTTTCATCAAAAAGAATGTGCTGAAGTTCCACGCTCAAGCAGAGTGCTCTAAGTGCCCCGTTTACCGCGCTTTCGAAATCGATGGTAGCATGGACAACTAGAGCAGGTAGCAAGGTTGTCATGAAGAACAGCGTGCTTAAGTTCCTTGCTTACTGTATTTTCCAGCTGCTAGACTTCTCTTCCGGTGAGCGAACTTTCACGTGTGGAGTC